CATAGAGAATGCGTACTACCATATATGATTTTCTCAAAAATGAGGTCCATTACTTTTGTTATCATCCTTTAAGATTATTTTAAACCAAGTTTAATAAAAGTTCACTGTCAGAACTCTGGTACTGACCTTGCTAAGATGGAGGAAATGCAGAATGACAGCAAAGCTTATAGCCATTTTTTTTTTCATGTTTTTTTTTTGTGTGCATTTCAAAATGATATCTGATGTATCAAACACCAGGGGAATGGGCATTTACTTTGAAAATGAAATGGTTATATTCCTGTTATTTGCCTGCTGTTGTTGAACATGAACCACGTGACCTGGTGTGAGTGTCAAAAATAATTAAGGCTCATTATATAAATTATAAATACAAATTGGCAAAATAAAACTCAGTCCAAAATTTGTACTGTTTATTGACTTTTTGTCTGTTCATATATCCATTTATAGATATTACAATTATAGTGTATGGTCAAGAATCAATTCTCAGACATGTGTCAGTGTAGATGCTCAATCTTGTTCAAAGTTGATGCAAAAAACTTACTAGTATGCGTGTTGATTTTTTGTTTTTGTTTTTTTGACCTTTGATTGAATGGTGACCAGTTTTGTCACCATCACGATTGGACATGTCAACTATTTCCAGGCATGCATTAGTTAAGGCATTTTATTTTAAATTGGTTTTGAAATGGCATTCTATTTACTTTGAATGTTATTTTCACTACACTAAGTTTTTTTACAATTTATTATTTTTGCAAATTTTGATGAATTGCCACATATGATGTTCTAAAATTTTCATGAATCGATTTAATGATTTGTAGAATTTACACTCTGCAAAAATTTGAAAAATAAGCAAGAGTAGTGAACAATGTCACAACACGACAAATTCCTACATCCTTGAAATTCTGAATTCTTTTTATTCATATAGTTTCTCCCATTACAGTTTTGTTCTGAAATATTTCTGGATTTTTTTTTCGTCAAAGCGCCCTCTATGGTGGATTTCGTGCTTCCTTACATCAAGAGGAAAGTACTTTGTCATCACTCGTGGTGCCCTCTCAACACAACTGTCAACAACTTGCACTGGGCGGGTAACTTTATACAGCGGGAAGTTCACAAGATTTTGGCTGCAAAATCATGAAGATCTTCGTTCGTAATCGCAGCAGGTACAATCCAAGTACTAAACCGAGCCCATGGATCTATATAAATGTAGAGGATTTCGCAGGGACTCGCATCAGTAATATCAAAGAGGTAAGGTCATAACTTAAATTGAACTTGATAGTGATGAACAAACTGTTTTGGTCGTCACTTCGAGTACTCAGTGAGCACCTCCTTATTCATATTTCCATCCTCATTTGTCTTCAGCATAATAATGCATTCCACGTCAATGGAACCTCCAATGTGTGTAGTTTTTGATAGCTAGTTATAAACGGATAGCACGATTGGCGTTGTCACAGCGTAGTTTGTTATTGAAACTCGTCTCGGTGTCTGTGCCCCGTGGAAGGCCCCCTGCTAGACGTGATAGTGATGGGTTGTTTCGTTTCCGGTGCAATACCTCTGTGTCACGACGTACATAAGTCGACAACGTTGAGTG